ATATACATTTGAAAATGATATTTTGCTGCTGTTAGGTATGATGCTTTATATATACCAGTTGGGTTTTAAATCTTCTTTAGGGCTTAATATGTTTACTTACTTTTGCATATATTTGCTGTCCTATCAATTAATGAAAAAGTATATTAAAATCTCTCACTGTGATTGCAGATTTTTCTTTGTCTTTTTAGTTGTTTGTTTTTGTTACAAAATTTGAAGCTATGCTATCAGATCATAAACAATTACAACTGTTGTCCGCTTCTGGTTGTGACTCCTTATTCCATAATGCCTTTACTTTAAGTTCTATATTGTGTAATACTGCTGTCTGCAAAATCTCCCTCCCATCCCTTTAATTAACTTCTTGAACTTCATACATTAACCTTTTCCATTCTTTTTTTATTTCAACCTTTGCTATTCCTATAGTTATGTTTCCTACGAAGAGTACTTTGTGGGTTTTGTTTATTTCATTTCAGTGCAACAACCTTTGCATTTAATTGGAGCATCTAGTCCACTCACACCTAAGTAGTAACTGATATTCAGGTTTAAATCTCTTAATCTACTATTTGCTTTCTATTGGTCATGTTTTGTGTTATTTAACTCCTAATTATTTTCCACTTGTTCCCTCTTTTTGCTTTGTAGTTATTTTCTTGTTTGCTTTGCTATTCTTTCAGAGGTAACCTACAGATGTCACTATAAAGTCTAATTTAACTTGGGAATTTTAACTTCTTTCTGGATAATACAAGACTTTTGAACTTCTGCACCAAACTTACACTATTATTGTCAACACTTTAACATTAAATTTATTGCAGCTTCCAAAACCACTTTATATAGTTGATATTCACTTAGATTTAATTATATATTTATTTTTTATACTGCTAATTCCTTCCTTTACCTGGAGCTTTTTTGGAGGGTCATTTTCCTCTGAAGAATATCCTTTACTATTTTATTTCTTTTAGGGAGAGCCTGCTGTTGAACTGTGTTTTCCTTTTCTTTTTCTTTTTTTTTGAGACAGGGTTTTACTACATGCCACAGACTGGTCTTGAACACACTATGTAGCCCAGGCTGGCCTGGAATGCATTATCCTCTGGGCTCCCCTCATGAGTGCTGGAATTACAGGTATGCACAACATGTTTGTGAAGTGTCTTTACCTTCATTCTTAAGTTGTTTTATGGAAAAGGCTGGGTATAAATGCTACACTTAGAGTTGTTTTCTTTCAGCAACTTGAGAATATCATTCAATTGTCTTCTGGTTGCCATAGTTTCTGATGAGCTGATAGGCATCTGCTTAATAAAATTGTTGCTCCTTTAAAGTAAAATCTTTTATGCCTTTCTGGGTGTTTTTATGATTTACTTTTTGTGTTTATTTTTTTCTTAATGTATTGATTTTTTAAATTTATTGTGCTTATGTCTTGGGTGGCTTGATGCTACTTAAAACCTTGAAGCTTGGTAGAACACTTGTTAACATGCCCAAGGTCCAAGGTTCAATCTCCAGAACTGCAAAAGAAATCCATTCACTGAATTCTTAAGTTTGATAAGTGCATTTTTCACTTTGGGATTTGCTAATTGATTCTTCCTTATTGCTTACTACAAATCAACATTTCAGAGCCTGTACTTAGGGGACCATTATCCAGGTCCTTATGAGTCTGTTTCCCCTGTGTTTGAAACATGTTGTCTTGTTTCCTTCGTTGCTGTGTTAGTCAGCTTTCCATTACTATAACTGAGATAATCAACTTAGAAAGAGCAAAGTTTTATTTTTGACTGTTTTGGAGGTTTCAGTTCCATTACCAAATAAGTCCATTGCTGTTTTTGGCATACCATTGTAGGAGACTGTGGCAGACCAAGCAGTTTGTCTTAGGACTGAGTGGCAAAGGAGAGAGAGACGGACAGACAGAGAATGAGAGAGAGACAGACAGACAGAGAATGGGAGAGAGGCGGCACTAGCCCCTGTGAGGGCATGCTCCCAAAGACCTAAAACCTCCCACTAGGATCCGCCCATTAAAAGGTTCCTCTTCCTCTCAGTAGTGCCACTCAGGGGGACAAGCCTTTAAAACATGGGCCAGATTTGAACTACAGAAGATGACTTATTTAAATGGACTGTCCAACATTAGATGTAAAATTTTAAGAATAACTTAAGAGGTAGATCTAGAGAGGATTTATAATTGCTCAGACTAATGACTAGGTGCAGTAGGAATCCAGTCCGGCTTGGCAAGTGAAAAGATTCAAACTGAATCTATTTTTTAATTCACCTTTGAATTGGAATGCAGTCCCTAGGGTTCCAACCCAATGTGTGGTGAGTTATTAGGGCCCTTCTCCCCGACACCACCACTTCCATGGGGAGCCCTGAACTCCAATTTTTGTCCCTTGAACTCATTAACATAGCTATGAAAAACATTACTTAGCTTTTCAGACTCTCAACCAGTGTTTCCTGAACTGCTATGTGGCCCTAGAGCAAAGCAAACCTGCATGTTGAGCTCAGGTCTCGAAGTTCATTCTGCCTTGCATCTTGGTGATCTAACACTCTCTGTTGAAAAATTTAAAATATTGTTTGGGCCAGCCTTTCTAGTTTTCCATGAGATGATTGATAAGAATTACTATGCACTATTAAAACTTGGAAGTATGAAAGTGAATTTCAGAGAAAATTCAGTAAGGTCAGTGCTGAATGTACAGGTAGACATATTAAGTAAGTTAGACATACAGGTTCAGTGTAACATAGGAAGAGTGGTTGGTTTTGGTGCATGTAATTGAATATAATCAGTTTATTGATAATATTTTAAGTATTAGAGACAGATGAGACTGCCTATGGTAAATGTAGAAGAAAAGGAAGAGGCCTAGAACCAATGGTTGAGAAATTCTAGAATTTAGTGGTCAGGTAGAAGAGGAAAGGCAGCAAAGGTGATTGAGAAAGAGTAGCCAGCAAGGTTGGAAGGAAACAGAGAGAATATGGTAGGAAAAAAATCCCCAAATAAAACACAGCAGGAGATTCAGGAGGGAGTGCTCAAATATGCCAATGCTACTTAGAGAGCAAGTAAGATGAGGACATAAGGTGGGCAAATGGTTGGATAATGTAGAGGTCAATGGTGGCCTTAATAAAACTCTTTATTTGGGAGGAATCCAAACTGGATTGGTTTGACAAATGAATGAAAGAACAGACTTAACCATGAATGAAATGGAGAAACATGGGATCCCTTGAGGAGAATGTAAGCTCAAGGGAAGGCATGGCTTGACATTATCTTAATAATGAAAAGCTTTAAACAACTTAAAATTACTATTATTTGGGAACAGTATAACAAATTCTGTCAATAGAATATTATGCCCTCATTAAAACTGATCATTACAAAGAATTTTTAATGACATGGGAAAGTTTTCCTACATGAGACAAGATATAATATTGTCTTACTAGCTTACAATTCAATCATGAAACCATAAACTGGAGAACTGAACTGAGATGTAATACAAAACCCTATCTTTTTTTTTGTTGTGGTTGGTACTGAAGGTTTGAGCTCCGGGCCTTGCACCAGGGCTTTTCCACTTCAGCCATGCTCCCAGCCCTTTTTGCTTTAGTTTGTTTTTAGATAGCATCTTTCTTTTGCCAGAGCCAATCTAGATGGTGATCTTCCTACCTACACCTCCCCCGGAGTAGACATTACAGAAATATGCCATACTCAGCTTTTTTTTGTTGTCAGGGAGTCTTGCTCACTTTTTGTCTGGGCTGGCCTAGAACCAGAATCCTCCTAATCTCTCAGTCATGAGTTGCTGGGATTAGAGGCACAAAACTCTACCTTAACAATATTACATTGCCACAAAAAAAGGCTAACTCAAAATCTTATACACTCATTAACTGGACATTAGTTCAAAAAAACAGTTCTTTTAACACTACAGGAGTGAACTAGTCCACTTTGTGTGTGTGTGTGTGTGTGTGGTACTGGGGCTTGAACTCAGGGCCTACACCTTGAGCCACTCTACCAGCCCTTTTTTGTGAAGGGCTTTTTGAGATAGGGTCTCGTGGAACTATTTTCCTGGGCTGGCTTTGAACCACAGTCCTGATCTCTGCCTCCTGAGTAGCTGGGATTACAGGTCTGAGCCACAGGCGCCCAGCTAGTCCACATACTAAGTAAATGGACGATGATGATCACTACTGTGTTCACCATCACCAGCAGCACCACCAATGATAATAATAAATCCTAACTGGCACATTTAAACTAATTGCCGTCATTTCTAAAGAGATTGCTTTCATATTGTCAGTCTGCTATGCTCCTATATGATTCAGTTGGAAATTAAGTGAGAAGTAGAGGAAGTTCATGTTTCAACTGATGCATATTCATTATTCATCTCCTTATAAGCACTGCATATCATTCCTGAGCAGCAAGAGAATAAAATGAAATTTTGATCACATTATCAAGAATTTCCTCCATCACCTTGTGGCCTTAGTTCAGATACCTGAAGACACTGGGAACCAGAAGTTCTGTTGGGTGAGTGAGTCTTCAGCAGTCAATTCACTGAAAAGAAATGCATGAGTCAGGTTTAGGGAATGCTGTCCTGTAGTCACTCGGATCACTTGTCATTGATCTTCTTGTGAGTATTTCCAGGAAGAGTGAGGTGAGCACTGTTTCTTTCACATATACAGAAAGGATATTTGAAAGCAAGGGATAAGATGTTATTGGAGAGATTTTATTAAAAGATTTTAAGGTTTTTGAATTAAAGTTTATGAAAAAATGAATACACCATATAGAAACATTCAGGCCATGTTAAATGTTAAAATAAAACAGTATAGCATTTGAAAATCGTATAAAATTAATTATATTTCAAATAAATATATGTATACATAATGCTAACCTTTAAAAGGATCCATTCTTACTTAAAAACACTGATATGCATGTCTTTTAGTATGTAATTACATATTTAGTGAATTTTGTGAGACAAATCACAAACATTTAACAAAGCAATAAAAAATTTAGTATCTAATCTCATACAAATGTTTTATTGTAACTATCAAAGCCTAACATAATCCACAGAGCACAAATATTGGCCAGATAATTCTAACTTTTATATTAGATAATGAAGTTGTTGTTCTTATTGGTTCTTTGACCACTAAAATGGAGATGAGAATCAGGTTTTATGGAGCTAAGCTTTTCTCAAGCCTCTTTAGGGCAGCAAGAAAACCTTAAGAAATTACATTGTTACTTAGGACAGGAGCTCTAACACAAATGTACAGGGAGGGGTTTTGATGAAAATATTGGATATCCCAGGGGAGGATCTGCTGCTTGCACCGTCAGGTTTCTTAAAAGCAGTGGCTGAGCTTGTATGCTGTAGCGCTCCTCGTCGTCGTTAGTAGCATAAAGCAATTCCCATGAAAGATTGGCCCACTGGCCTCTCACAGCTTCTGCATTCAACTTCCCAACCTGGACCAGCAGTTCTTGGAGGGAGAGTACCCTCCCTGTGTAAACTCCCTGTAAGAAGAAAGATCACATTTAGGTCTCATATTTTATTTATATACTTGAGAAAAATCCTATCCATTAGGTAAACTTTGTCTCAAGGTCAAAAAGAGAGAGAGACAAAGTAGTGTTTTAAAATGTACACATGAATTGTTTATCTTTATAATAAAAAATCATCTGTATTTTCTTAGTTCTCTAAGTATGGGAAGAAAAATAGTCACTTAATTACGAGGACAGCAAAGTTTCAGTTACTTGTGCTTCTTTTCCTGTTCTGATCCCTTACTACATCTGACCTCAGCAATGTACATGTATCATAATTACGAGTCAGTGGACAAGGACAGAATGGGCTCCTTGTCGGAAAAAGCATATTGATATGCGGTCCCATTTGAAACAATTTACTATTTTCAATTGTCAATTTACAATTTAATGGTTTTCAGTGTATTTATGGATGTGTGCAATAATCACCACAGTTAATTTTAGGACATTTTCATGGCTTCGAAAGAGAAATTTCGCACGTTTCAGCTATTAGTTACATCTCATCATTCCCCTGCCCTGGGCAACAGCAGTACAGTTGCTACCTTACAGATCCGCCCATTCTGGAAACTCACAGGAAGTGAATCACGGAATATGTGGTCTTTTATGACTGCATCATTTTCAAGGCTCATGTAAGTACTGAGATACACACACACACACACACACATACATACATACATACATACATACATACATATAAATATATATATAGCAGTGCTTTGTTCCTTTTTGTGGCAGAACAATATTTCATTGTATGGATGTACTAAAATTTTTCCATGGTTTTTTAGTTGACATTCAGTGGATCATTTCTGCCTTTGGAAATTATGAAAATGCTGTGACAAACATTTGTATACAAGTGGTTTTTTTTTGTTGACCTATGTTTTTGTTTCTCTTACGTATAGACCTAAACGTGGACTGCAAGGTTATACAGTAAGTCTATGCTCAACTATTTGAGAAACTGCCAGAATACCTTTCAAAGTTGCCATACCAATTTACATTCCAAACAGCAATGTATGAGGGGTATATGTCTCCATATTCTTGTTAACACTTGTTATTATCCGACTTCCTGGGCTCAGTCATCCTCATATGTGTGAAGTGATATTTTATTGTGGTTTTGTATTTCCCTGAAGATTCACAATGTATAACATTTTTTTCATGTGTTTATTGACAATTTATATATATCCTTTGGGGAAACGTCTACACAGATCTTTTGCGTATTTTGATTAGCTATTTGTATTTTTATTATAGAGTGTTAAGTGTTCTTTACATATTGTAGTTATAAGTCCTTTATGAAATGTATTTGATTACTTTTTCCATTCTAAACTGCCTTTTTTTGCTTCCTTCAAAGCACAAGTTTTTCATTTTTGATGAAGTCTTACTTATCAATTTTTCATTTGTTTCTCATGCAGTTGATGTCACATCTAAAAATCTATTGTTAAGTTTGAGGTCATGGAAATTTGCTCCTATGTTTTCTCCCAAAGCCTCTATGGTTTTAAAGCATTTTAAGGTTAATTTCTAATATGGTGTGAAGTAAGGTCTGGAGTGGATCGAATAGCATCTTCTAAGAAGATATTTCATAGTACTAACCCACAGTACTGGTGTGATCTTATGTGGAATGGCTACTTTGCAGATGTAATTAAGGATCTTGAGATGAGGACAGCCTGGATTTAGATGGCCCCAAGTCCTAATAAAAGAAAGGAGTGGGAGAACTACCACAGGTGAGAGGGAAGAAGGCTGTGTTCAGATGGAGACAGAGACTGGTGTTTGCTGCCACAAGCCATGGAATGTTAGGAGCCATGAAGAGAAGGACAAGGCAAAGAAAGTTTCTCCTTTTGAGCCTTCAGAGGAGCATGGCCTACTGACACCTTAATTTCAGACTTTAACCTCCAGTACTGTGAGAGAAAAAATTCTCGAGGTTGCTTGTTTGCTTATTGTTGGCGGTACTGGTGTTTGAACTCAGGGCCTTACGTTAGCTAGGCAGGTGACCTAACACTTAAATCATGCCCTCAGCCCTTTTTGCTTTAGTTATTTTTTCACAAAGAGTACCATGTTTGCCCCAGGCAAGCCTGGACTGCAATCCAACGATTTATGCTACCTAAACAGCTGAGTGACAGCCATGTGCCACCATGCCCAGCATTTTTTATTGTTCAAGATGGGGTTATCATTAACTTTTTGCCCAGGCTGGCTTCAGACTGTGATTGTCCTGATCTCTGCTTCCCATAACTTTCTGTTTTGTAAAGTTGTCCATTTTGTGGTAATAATTTGTCACAGTAGCCTGGGGAAACTGACATTAATAATCTGATGTCTTTTTTTTTTTTTTTTTTTTTGGTGGTCCTGGGTTTGAACTCAGAGCCTCATGCTTGCTAGGCAGGCACTCTACCACATTAGCCACACTCCAATCCCAATGTCATTCTTTTGAATGTGGCCACTCAATTATCCCAACACCATTTGTTGAAAACATGACTCTCTATTGAATGGCCATGGCATCAGTTGACTGAAAGACTCCTGAGTTTATTTCTAGGTTGTCAACTCTGTTTCACTGATTAACATGTCTATCTTTATTCTAGTACCATACTAGATTGAATACTATTGCTTTGTAATAAATTTTGAAATTGAGAAGTATGAGGCTACCAATTTTCTTTTCCAAAATTGTTCACATGAGTTTTGAAAATGAACTCACCAATTTCTACAAAAGATGCAAGGAAAAACTAAAGGAATTCATGACTACCAAGTCAGTACTGCAGAAGATTTTTCAGGTATAGAAGAAGAAACTGTACTGAGACAGGAAGATGCATAAAGAATAAACCCTTTTGACCAAGCAGACCAACAAACAAGGAATAGGTAAAAATAAACAACAGGGGAATAAAAATGACTGGAAAAAACATGCACCTCTCAATATTAACACTGAATGTAAATGGCCTCAATGCCCAATCAAAAGACACAGAATAGCAAACTAGATTAAAAAAATAAGACCCAACCATATGTTCCTTACAAGAGACTCATCTCACTGAAAAAAAATAAACACTGGCTTAGAGTCATAGGGTGGAAAAAGGGTTTCCAAGCAAATGGACCCCATAAAGAGGCAGGAGTAGCTCTACTCATATCTGACAAAGTAGACTTCAGATCAAAATCAGAAGAGACAATGAAGGTCACTTCATATTAATTAAAGTATCAATTCACCAAGAAGAAATATCAATTTTAACATATATGCACCAAATATAGGGGCAAACAATTACATTAAAAAAACTTTAATGGCCCTAAGAGCACAGACAGACCCTAACACAGTGATTATGGGACACCCAAATACCCTACTGTCACCAACAGATAGGTCATCCAGGCAAAAGATCAACAATGAAACTTCAGAGCTACTTCACACATTAGACCAAATGGACATATTAGATGTCTGCAGAGTATTTCACCCAACAACCAGGCAATACACATTCTTTTCTGCAGCTCATGGAACTTTCTCCAAAATATATCATATTTTAGGAAACAAAGCAAGTCTCAACAAATTCAAGAACACTGAAATAACTCCCTGTATCATATCAGATCACAATAGAATAAAACTAGACCTCAACATCAAAGAAGTAACAGAAAATATTCAAACACATGGAGACTGAAAAACACACTCCTGAAAGACCAGTGGGTAACTGAAGAAATATGGGAAGATATCAGAAAGTTCCTAGAATCTAATGAAAATGAAAATACAACCTACCAGAACCTGTGGGACACTACAAAAGCCATGCTAAGATGAAAGTTTATAGCTATCAGTGCCTACTTTTTTTTTAAAAAAAGGACTTCTCAAATAAATAACTCAATGATACACCTTGAGCATCTAGAAAAAACAAGAACAAACCAAGCCCAAACCCAGCAGAGAGATAAACATCAGGACTGAGATCAAGGAGATCGAGACCAAAAAAACTATACAAAGAATCAACGAAACAAAAAGTTGGTTCTTTGAAAAGATTAACAAGATCGACAAACCCCTACCAACATGACAAGATGGAGGAGGGAAAAGACCCAAATTAATAAAATCAGAGATGAAAAAGGGGACATAACCACAAGTACTAACAAAATCCCAAGGATCACTAGAGAGTACTTTGAAAACTTATATTCAAGTAAACTGGAAAACCTAGAGGAAATGGATACATTTCTAGATGCATACAACCAATCAAATTGGAGCCAAGAAGATACAGACCTCTTAAATAGACCTATTATAAGCAGTGAAATTGAAGCAGTAATAAAGGGCCTCCTTACAAAGAGTTGTCCAAGACCTGATGGACTCACAGCTGAATTTTACCAAAACTTTAAAGAACTAACACCAATACTCCTCAAACTTTTCCAGGAAACAGAAAGGGAAGAAACACTACCAAACTCATTCTATGAATCCAGCATTCACTCATTCCAAAACCCAATAAAGATACAATAAAAAAGAGAATTATACACCAATATTTTTAGTGAATATAGATACAAAGATTCTCAACAAAATACTGGCAAACAGAATTCAACAGCACATTAAAAAGATCATACACCATGACCAAGTCGGTTTCATTCCAGGGATGCAAGGATGGTTCAACATATGTAAATCTATAAATGTAATACAGCATATAAACAGAAACAAGGACAAAAAGCACAAGATCCTCTCATTAGATGCAGAAAAAGCCTTTGACAAAACCCAACACCCTTTCATGATAAAAGCGCTGAAGAAACTAGGAATAGAAGGAATGTTCATTCACCTCATAAAGGCTATATATGACAAACCTATAGCCAAATTATACTAAATGGAGAACAACTGAAATCATTCCTACAAAAGTCAGGAACAAGACAGGGATGCCTGCTTTCCCCACTCCTACTTAATACTGTTTTGGAATTCCTAGCCAGAGCAGTAAGACAAGAGCAAGAAATAAAAGGCATTCAAATAGGGAAGGAAGAAGTCAAATTATCCCTATTTGCAGATGACTTGATCCTATAGATAAAAGACC